ACTACGTGGGAGTCCAGCACATAGCCATTACGCTAACTGCTGGTTCCCACCCCTGAGGGGGCTTTGTGATGAACATATAGACAGCATGGCTGAGTTGACCCATCATTCAGAATGAGCCAGATTACTGTTTGTACTTCTTCATAAAACTAATCTTTGTCTTCGAGAATCGCCATGTTCTGTAATTAGTGAAAATTCAGAATGAAAAATAAGTTGTGATCCTTTTTAGTAATGGTAGCAGACTTTATCTTGGAAATAAGGTAAAGTGATTTCCTTAAGTTTGCTATGGGAATATGTCCCAAAATAAGAGAAATTTGGTGCATGCTCCAAGTAACAGGAGTACTCACAGTAACTTGAGTTACTTTTTGAGAATTATGTTATAAGGCATGTGCACTTGCTGGAGAGACAGAAAGTAGGAAATCATCCCCTTGGAGGGTTGTTCATGTGATAATACCTTGTCCTCTAGTCTTCTGTCAAGATTTTGGGCATGCATGTACACGCACCTGGTTTGAGATTAAGTCGCTGGGTCTGGGACTTAAACTGTAGTCAACTCCATCAGAGTTCAGTGACATAAGCATTATGCCACCTGCCCATCGGAGTCCAGTGACATAAGCATTATGCCACCTGCTGGTCCCCACATTAACCTTTTTATATTTTTTTTTAGAGAGAGGTTTTTTGCTATAGGGCTCATACGCTCTCCAGAAAGAGAGGGACAGAGAGACAGAAAGCGAGAAATCACCCCCAAGGGGGGATGTCCATGCCGCAATCCCTTCTCCTCCATTTTCCTCTTGGGATCTTGGGCACACATGCACATGTGCCCAGCATGAGTTTAAGCCACTGGGTCCTGGACTCGAATCACTGTCGACTACATGGGAGTTCAGTGACATAGCCATTATGCCAACTGCTGGTCCCCTACATTAACCTTTTCAGTAGCTGCAGAGAGCAGGAGCAGAATGAGGAACTCCTAGCACTCCAGTTGGTGGGTCTCGAGGCTTTACTGCGTGCCCTCATCTCAGTTTTCTGGGACAAGGCATCTCAGAGCAAATCAAATCAGATCAGAGAAGTTGCTTGGCCATGGCCACAGGTACAGCTGTGATGGTGACAGGTCAGGACAGACTATTCTAGCCCTACTGATCAGCATATGGGCAATTTTATTTCAGTCAGCTTTGTGGGATTGCTGGCCTACTCAGGTAAAACACTGTGACTGTAGACAAGTGTGTGCATGTGTTGGATAGAGGGTCCCTGAGCTCTGTGTCCTACTTACTCTTGGTGTGTTTGGAGAAGTGGTCATAGTCACTCTCAGTTTGCTCTCTCCTGGCCACTTCCTCCCCACCAGTCAAGCTGTTTTACCTGTCAGAGTTCCTGCTTCAGCCTGAACTTGGTCTAGAGGAGGCCTTTGGGCACTGTTGGAAGTTGGCTGACCCATTGACTATCCAGTACACACCCTAAAAAGCTATAGGATTTGGGATATTTAGCTGGTTGTGTGGAAAGGCTTCAGTCTGTTTGAGAATAATGCAAGTGTGTGATATTTGACCTTTTTCTGTTCAAAACTTACCAGATCCAGGTCCTGTAACCTCAAATATGTAGGATTTTTTGTCATCCTCATGTTAGAAATGCTAAGACTGAAGTCCATTCCTGAGGGGATGGCCTGTAGGGAGCTGGGCCCAGACCAGGCCAGCTTGGACAGAGTATGTACCTTTTCTCTACTCTAGGCATTTCTAAGGGTCAATCAGAGTTATGGTCCATACTGACATTCCAAACACCACGTCTGAGTGGGATGATTCTCACAAACTGTCTTCTCAGTTCATCTTTATCCTTTCTCCTCTCAAACACAGGTTCTGGGTGATGGCAGTTTGGGGGTCACTGGATTGCAACAACTGCCTGTGAGTGAAATTATGCCCTTTTGTAGTAAAAAAGCCAGGATTTTTCATACTGAGAATAATGCAGAATTAACAATTGCTTATGATTTCAAGGAGCAATGTACAGTTACTTGGAACATGTTTGTTGTCATGGCACATAACTTGGGGCCTAGACTATTAATGAGTTTCTCTTGTCCTCTTCTCAATTCCCATGGGATTTCTGTGATCAAGTGTGTGAAGCCTTTCTTCATGTACAAGCAAGCAGTTAGTTCTGTGCCAATACCAACTCATTGTTCTCTGACTCATTTCAGTTCCAACAGTATCCAGTTGGAGGTTATTTGATCCTACATGTTAAGGGATCAGTTTCCAACTTCCACCCCCCGAAATCCTGACTTCATGGCCTGGATATTAAGGACATCCAATGCAATGTGGCAGACCATGCAGTTTAAATTTAATCAGGTGACTTAAATGTGTATGCTCCAAATCTCGGAACATTAGAGAAAGACCAAGGTTCATAGGGGGTTACTTTCTCCCTCTCTTTCTGGCTCTTTCTCCCTCTCTTTCTCCCTCTCTTTCTCCCTCATTTCTCTCTAAATGACTCATTTTCTCCCATGAGCACATAGCCCTCTGGCAAATTTAAAAGAAAATGAAAGATTGCTTGGCCAAGCAGTGGCATAGTGATTGAGTAGCTGGACTCCCACATGACTGTGGATCAAGTCCTGGACTTACTGGCTTTAAACTCATGCTGGACATGTGTGCCCAAGGACACATGGAGGAGAAGGAGATTTCAGCATGGCCATAACCCTTGAGAGTTGAATTCTTACTTTCCTTCTCAATGTCTTTGTCTCTTTCTCTCAGGGAGTGTACACACCCTATGGTAAACACCTAAAGCAAGCAAAATAAAAATTAAGACTGCCCATCCAGGGTTCAGATTGCTGGTATTTTCCCCAGGTGTTTTTTACCTATGTTTCTGACCCATCAGCTATAAACAGGGGTTTTCCCAAATAGTTCTACTGGGTTTGGGTATGGTTAACTTGATGGAGTGGCTTATTAGAATTCAGGGAAACCCTTTTCCTTCCTGGTTGCTTATAAAGGATATTAGAAAGGATATAGATAAGTACCAGAAGAATAGATGTATACAGTGCCAGCATGAAAAGGTAGACTGTGGTAGAGTGAGTAAATAAAGCAAAATAACTGCTTTGGTTGAGGGTTAGGACAATCTTCCAGGCACCACAAAATCCAACTTGCCCTTGATAATGTGTGCTGATGTCTCACTAAGTCAGCCTGGATAAGCCAAGCTAATCTCCCCACCTCAAGATTTTTACTTGAATAGCCCTTGTAGAGTCCTTTCATTCATGTAAGGTGACATGTTTACAGATTCTGAGGTTAGAAAGTGATCAACTTTGAGAGAACCTTTATTCTGTTGACCACAAGAACTAAT